ACCATCAGATCTCATGAGATTTATTCACTATCACAAGAACAGCATGGGAAAGACCTGCCCCCATGATTCAATTACCTCCCACCAGGTCCCTCCCAGAGCACATGGGAATTCAAGAGGAGATTTGGGTGAAGACAAAGCCTAACCATATCATGTATCTATTTATATGATCAAACTTTTTTTTTTTCTTTTTTGGCCTGTTGTTGATGTGATGAATTACATTAACTGATTTTCACAGAATTTTACTTGTTAACTACAGAAATAAAGTGAAAATGGCAGCAACAATTAAAATGAATGCAATATAAAAACTATAGGAAGGAATAGAGGAGATAAATAATTTAATAGAAATGGGATGAGTAATGAAGAAATGTACATAAGGGTATGCCCACTCTTATAGTACCAGAAAAATTTCTTACAATAATGTAAATGCTAAATTATCATTTAATCAGAATTAAAAGCTACTCGGCTAGCATACTTGTATTCATACTGTCTAAGGAATATTTTAGAATGAAAAGAACTATATAGAATTTTAAAGACTATTAAATGATTGTTATAATTACTAAATGTATTTTAAATGATACTTAGGCATATTTTGCTCATGGATAGTTTCCTGAGTTACAAGTTACAAGAAGACAATACCATTTAACATGACACATAATATTGGACTGCTGACTTCTGAAATGCTTCCTGAGCGTAAGGTAATAAACCCATAACTTGTTTAAATAAATGTCATTCCCAAGCCTTGTCACCAGCACCTGAATATAATCTCAATTGCCACATTTCTGAAAGACTTTTTCAATTCAAAATTTGTACATTGAGAGGAGTCACTGATTTAAGGTCTTGAGGCAGGAACATGTGAATAATGGATTGGAAGACCCTATTGCCAGAAAATAAAGATGCCTTTAAAATAGATCTACAGTACTTTTAAAAGATCAAAGGTGTGCCCTATAAAAGAGCTCCCATTGGCCAAAATGTGAAAAACTAAAACATCAAAAAGAGGACAATAATTACAATTATTTGGAACATGTTTCATCTATGAAAAGCCTTGGGTACATAATGATACTTGCAAATGAAACGTTAATTCAAAATGTACAAAAGTGAATTGTAAGTATAAAAGGACATCACAACAGTACAATACAGTAAAATACAATGGCAACCTAATTGGAATTTCTTCTTTTTTTAATTAAGCATTGCTACATATATTTTTGTCTCCTTTAAGTAAGGGATAGTGGCTATAAGGAACTGTAGGAAAACCACCTAATTCTGGAATATTATGACACCATAAAAAATCAGGAGTAATAATCAGCACTGGTGTTCATGTTCACCACACACAATGACTTAAATAAAAATACAGCAATGAGTTGCTAAAACTCCAGAGACAGGAACTGAATACATAGATACATAATTTTCTTAAAGCAGAAATCTCTAGATAACCTAACATTTTAAAATAAATTGCTAATTAGGTACAAGGAGATAACTTTTAAAAGGAGAAAGATATTCCCAGATCAAAAGTTGATGGCCATCTGAATGGGGGGAACACCAAAATCTAAAATCACGCATGGATTTGTAAAGTCCAATTGATGTAGTAATGAGCTTTGACTCAAGAAGAGGCTCAGCCAGTGAATGTTGGTTCAGGTTTCAGTGTTTTTCAAAGATAAAATTAGATCCTGTGTCTTGACCAGAATTAGCCTCTATGGCTGGTTTCACACAGTGCTCTTTTTCTTTATGATATGCCAATATTTCTGCAACTGTAGGTAGATATAGACATATATAGAGCTATTAAAGAAATAGAAAAAGTCTTTAAATTTTATATGTGTGTGTTATGTATAAAATCCTACATAATTTATACAGCAAAGCAGTACAAAGTTCACTGGAAGACTGAGAAAGCTATTTGTTTAGTTAATTGACCTCTTCTTAAAGAATAATAAAACCCTGTATCTCCTCAAAAACCAAATGGCTACACCTTGAGTCTCCCTGAAAGACAAATGGTTACATCTTGAGATAGGATCCTACTTTAACTGCAGAGATGTGTTTTTATATCTCAAAAGGGTATGAGACCCATAACTTTAGATGAATCATAGCTTTAAAAATATTCCTAAAATACCATTTTAAACATTCCTATTTTAAGATTATTTTAATTATATTTGTTGTAATAACTTTATTTTCATGGGAACAATTTGTGTATGATTAAGGTATTGGAAATAATTGAGAGTCTTTGACATATTAAACTTGTGATTGCACAGATAAAAAAATTGACTAAGTTTATAATCTACATTTAAATGACTAGCAATACTTACTGTATTTTGTTTTAATGGTATTTGTGTAAGGATATTTAAATAGTTTTAAAAATCAATTCATGGATTTACAACTTTATAGTGTACTGGAAATGTAGTACTCTATACTCTTCTCCATACACAGATGTTTTTCTGTTAGTAACACTCCCTGCAACATTTGTGTAAGGCCTATAATATTTTCCAAAGGCCAGACTCTATAAGAAATTATTATTCCAGGACAACATGCACAAAAAAATTTAGTTAGTAGCCGTGGCTCTTCAAGTTGGAATAATGAAAGCAGCAGGAATTATACGTAAAACATACACACACATACACACACATACACACAAAGAATGTACACCAAAAGAGGAACTATAACATAACAAATAAGGCAGTCCAACAAATAACTTTTAATTATCTTAAATAAATTAGTGACAAGATTTTTCTGTCCTAGAAAACAACACAAAACCATTTAATGTTCCGTTTAAACGCTTTAAAGTACAAAATAAAAACATCAGTAGGGAGAAGAAAATAAATTTTGAGCTGTTAGAGCTCTAGGAAACCAATGAATAAAAAAAATTCTTCAGAGATAAGACATGTTAGAAGCAATAAAAATGGAATAGGCATGACTGAAAACATAAACAAGAAAATAATTAGCAGAATTGAGGTTTATATTAATCCATCCTCATGCTGCTAATAAAGACATACCTGAGACTGGGTAATTCAAAAAGGATAGAGGTTTAATTGACTCACAGTTCAGCAGGGCTGGGGAGGCCTCAGGAAACTTAATAATCATGATGGAAAGGGAAGTAAGCACATCCTTCTTCACATGGCAGCAGGAAAGAGAAGAATGAGAAGCCAGCAAAGGGAGAAGCCATTATAAAACCATCAGATCTCATGAGAACTTACTCACTATCATGAGAATAGCATGTGAAAAACCACCCCCATGATTCATTTACCTCCCACTGGCTTCCTCCCACGACACATGGGGATTATGGGAACTACAATTTAAGATGAGATTTGGGAGGGGACACAGCCAAACCATATGAAGGTTATTACCAAAATAACTGGAAAAGATCAAACCTGAAGAATAATCAGGGAATGTAGGAATGATAAATACGAGAGACAAATTAAACATAAAAATTATTTAAATGTAAAAGGTACTAAATCTTCAGTAAGTATTTTAATATGTGTACCAAAAGGAAACATCTTCTCTAAAAGAAATGAAATGTTAAATTCCAAGGCATATAGTGGTAAACTACTGAACATCTAGCATGTTAAAACTATTCAAATAGACATCAGTAGTGGAAATGTAAGTCACGCGGTAGTGGTGAGAAGCATGTTGACCTCAGCCTTCTACAGACCAACATTCAACTCAAAATTATGCAGCAGGTTACCCCAGTTTGAGAAAAAGATTATGTTTCAAAAATGTTACATCCAGCAGTTTTTCTTCAAGTGATAAAAAAATAGAAAATATTTTAAGGCATATAATTACCAGATAATACAGCTTTCTTTTTATATATCAAACTCACAAATAAAAAAATACTTGATCACAAGATCCAACTAATTGGCTATATAATTTAAAATAAAGAAATTAGGAATTAGGTAAACAGAACAAAAATGGTGATGAGAAATAAATTAATTTTAATTTAGACAATTTATGCTATTTTAATATTAGAGTTAGAGAAGAGTAAATAAATGATATAGAAGTTGACCATAGCAAAAAATATTATAAGTGAATAAAAACTAGAGATAGTAATGGGAAAGTTGGAATAAGTAAGGGGTTGAATGCTAATTTTCTCAAATGTTACAGAAAGCTGCCAAAATGTATGATCTAGATTTGAAACATAAACATGTATTAAAACAAAATGGCTCCAAATTCTTAATAATTTTGAAAATCTATCTTTAAGTTTTTTCATTAATATTTAAAAAATAAACATTTACCTTAAGTTCCGCTATTCCATGTTTCCTTTCAGTTTATTTTATTGGTTACATAAACATAAATGTAATTTTATTACTTGGTAGTTTAAAAAGAGCACAGGTACTATAAATTTAATTTGAAAAATTATTAGACTTTTTCTTTAATTTTTGAATATTTAAATTTTTATAAATGAGCATATTTCCAATTTTAATAAATCATAGTACCATTATTTTTATAAAGGTAGTTCAAATTAATTATTTATAGATGTTTTCCAAATACTACCAGACACAAAGAAGGCACCTATAAAATGACAGGTTTAGACATGACTAATCAACGAATCATTTACAATTTAGAAACTTGCACTAGGGATCACATTCTTTTTTGTAGAGACCACTCAAATCCTCTTCATTCTTTCATAGTGTATTAACATAGATCAGACCTAACTGTCTCAAGGAACAAATGAGCAGTTGTGTTCTGCAACCAACAAATTTCCAATTAAGGAAGTCCAATTAAAAGCTCATTTCTTTAATTGTGCAGAGATGTAATCAAGCTTAGAGAGAGGCAGAAAAACAAGATGTATGCAGTTTAGGAGAATGGGCATAGTAATTCTTAACTTTAATAATTTTAAAATAATGTCTATGGTTCCAAATACACATTTAATTTCTTCTCTGTTCTCTTCAGGATTAACAAGTAAAATAAAGCCACCATGCCAGTATATTGGGAATAACTGAAATTCAAAATATGAATTAAGGTTTCAAAGCAGGCAGGTTTACAGCTAAAAGCAATACTTTAACTTCCATGTTTTCAAAATGGTTGAAAAGCATATACAGGAAAGGTATATACTATCTTCATGTTTCACAGGTTAGGATATCTGAATCCTAAAGCAATTGTAAAATTTTCTACAATTCCTCAGGGAGATTATATCCAAGCGAAATCACAGTCACTGTTTATTTAATTCAATTGAACTCTACATCTTTGACTAACGTTTCCTTTTTTTTAAACAAGAAACTAGTTTGATTTTCACCAGAATTATAAGATTCTTAATTTATTGCAAGGGTTCTGCTTTATATTAACATAATTCAACTCAATGGTTAGGGGATTTAGTTGTATCAATTTTGCAATAAATATTTTGAGAACTAAACTAAAAAATCCAGCATATTAATGTACCAAGTAATATTCTACGTATATTCTATCTCTTATAAACATTTCAATAAAAGACAATTAAATTGAGTTTCCAGTGAAAACATGCATTATGTATGTATCCAAGCTAATTCAATCAGCAAAAATATCTATTAAGCTTACTCTATTTAATGATATTACTGTGCCACTTTATATAACCAAGAATAGGAAATAAACATGACATGTCATATTTAAAAATGCAAGTTCTGACTCCTTAAGAAAGTCTTTTAAATTATTGCATGCTAATTTTAAAAGATATTTTCTAAAATTTTTATGTTTATAATTAATCAAAATACCTCAATCAATTTTTGTTGGGGACTGGTAGTTCAAAATGTGTAGAAAAAAATACATTATTTCATTTATCTGAATCCTAAATTGTTGTACAAGTAAAATAGTTTTTTTTTAAGTCGTCACATTGCAGCTGAATACCTGTCAATAATTGTATAGGTATTTTTAAATTTCATAGTAGTTGTCTGCACCCAACAAGGCAGATCTTTTCTAGAAATGACTTGAGCAAAAACTTCAGCTGATGTTGCCTTATGTGAAAAATTGTCAGATTAATTTGATGAGAGTACTATAATAACGTAGTCAAGTGGCTTTAAAAAAAATAGTGCACTAATCTCCTCTAATTGGGACTCCGAGCCGGGGCTCTTTCTGGCGCTGGCACGGCTCCAAGAAGGCTATCCTAGCCATCACTTTTCCACCTACTTTTTAGAGAAGGGAAGGTGAGCGAGTCGATCTCAAAGTCCAGCCAGCACTTGGCCTCCAAGCAGAAAAAGGATGGCACTGAGAAGAGGGGCTGGGGCAGGTCGCCCAAGCAGCCTCACGTGAGTCCCACGACAGCGCTGGTAGGGAGTCAGAAGGAGCCCAGCGAAGTGCCAAAACCTAAAAGACCTCAGGGCCGACCAAATGGAAGCAAAAACAAGTACGCTGCCAAGACCCGGAAAACCACCACAACTCCAAGAAGGAAACCAAGGGGCAGATCCAAAAAACTGGAGAAGGAGGAAGAGGAGGGCATCTCACAGGAGTTCTCAGAGGAGGAGCAGTGACCGTGCGTACGTGTCGCCTGCTCGTTGCTGGAGGAGCTTCCTTCTGGTACTGGACAACTTTGCTCTGCTCCCACCGCCCCCAGCCCTTCCCCAGGCCGACCATCACCACCGCCTCCGGCGACCACCCCTATCTTCCATCTGTGACTTCACCACTACACAGCACACCAGCCGCCACAGGGCCCCCATGGGCTGAGTGGGGAGCCGTCTTCCCCTGGCCTCAGTTCCCAGCTCCCCCCGCCCACCCACGGGCACACACATGTGCCCTCCTGGACAAGGCTAACGTTCCACTTAGCCGCACCCTGCACCTACTGTGTCCCCACTCCCTTGGTGGTGGGGACATGGCTCTCTGGGTTTTGGTTTGGGGGCGCCCTCTCTGCTCCTTCATTGTTCCCTCTGGCTTCCCATAGTGGGGCCTAGGAGGGTTCCCCTGGCCTTAAAAGGGGCCCAAGCCCCATCTCATCCTGGCCCGCCCTACTCCACTGCCCTGGCAGCAGGTGTGGCCAATGGAGAGGGCTGCTGGTCCCAGGATTCCCCCAGCCAAACTGTCTTTGTCACCACGTGGGCCTCACACCTTTTATCCTTCCCCACCTTCCCTAGTCCCTGCACTAGGTTGGACAGCCCCCTTTGGCTACAGGAAGGCAGGAGGGGTGTGAGCCCCCTACTCCCTCTTCAGGGTGGCCCCAGCCCCCTTGCCCTCTGCCTGGGATCTGAGAACATATTGCAGTGATGGAGATGCAGTCACTTATTGTCCAGGTGAGGCCCACGAGCCCTGTGGCCGCTACCTGAGGTGGGCTGGGGCTGCTCCCCCACCCCTACTTTGCTTCCGCCACTCAACCATTTGCCCCTCCTCAGATGGGGCACCAATAACAAGGAGCTCACCCTGCCAGCTCCAAATCCTCCTGCTCCTCCCTGCCCCCCAAGGTTCTGGTTCCACTTTTTCTCTGTTCACAAACCACCTCTGGACAGTCGTGTTGTTTTTTGTTCAATGTTCCATTCTTCGACACCTGTCACTGCTGCTGCTACCAGCGCCAAGCGTTCATCCTCATTGCCTCCTGTTCTGCCCACGATCTCCTCCCCCAAGATACTCTTTGTGGGGAAGAGGGGCTGGGGCATGGCAGGCTGCGTGACCAACAACCCCAGTCCCAGGGAAGGTGGGGCCCTGCCCCTAGGATGCTGCAGCAGAGTGGGCAAGGGGGCCCGAATCGACCATAAAGGGTGTAGAGGCCACCTCCTCCCCCTGTTCTGTCGAGGAGGGGTAGCCATGATTTGTCCCAGCCTGGGGCTTTCCCTCTGGTTTCCTATTTGCAGTTCCTTGAATTAAAAAAAACTATATCCTTTTCTGGGAGAAAAAAAAACAACAGTGCACTAATAAATAATAGATGAATAATTATGGAACATTTAGTCTCTCGTTCGCAAAGAATTGTGCAGACAAAAACTGCACTAATCTTATCTTTGAGGGATACTAGGATACACGAATTGAAACAAGAATTTTGAACTATTTTGTCTCAAGAAACTACTGTATAGTTAATTTGTTTTCTTTACTTTTTACAGAATTTACTAATTATGAATAAACTTTTTAAAATTTATCCCCAAAATGTTTTTAATTTAATATTTAAATTGCTTGCTATTCAGCAGGAAATGTTTAAAGGAAACACATTTTTAAAGCTAAACAGACTGAAAATAAACTCACCTTAGATCCATTAGCAAATTGAGGTCACACGGCAAGCTGTAGTTCTTAAAATTAGAGAGAAAGATAAATACAGATTAATTCTAGTTTACCAGGAGCAAAAGCCACAGCTGAAGACTGGTAGAGTAATTGAATAATTGCTGTAGACTCAGTGGGGACATTTGAGAGATAAAAAACTCCTAGGAAGTCAGCCTTTGGGGTCCTCCATACTAAATTTTATGACAAGGTTTCATGGGTGAAGATCAGAGAAAAATCTTCTTATGCATCCCTCAGGGGGAAGGGGAAAGTAACCATTTTGAAATACACCCAGAGTGTCTGTTCTCATTAACAAAGGACTGCCCTAAAGGGAAACTATTTTTACCAGAGCCTATCCAATGTGGGTATTAACAGAGTCTAACTGATGTGGGGGAAGAGAGATACTCAACTCTAACTCCCTCTAGCCTGCTATTTAAGGGAAGGAAAATATACAAATCCAGTGCACTCTAATGTTCCTGTATTATATAAAGAAGTTCAGAAACACTTAAGAAGGTCACAGCCCAGGGACCCACAGACCCACTAAAACATTGAGACCTAAATAGTAAGAATATATTAATAGAATGCTTCTCTTGTGCCCCTATACTACCACATCAACAGGGGTCCTGTATAATAAAAGGGCATTACAGCTGAAAAGAATTCTAAGGGTTATAGTCTATTTAAGAAATCTCTAGGAAAACCCAAATACCACAGAGGAGATGAAAACAAAGACAAAAGAGAAAATTTTAGCCTCTGACATCTACAGTTGTAGGAAATAGTTAACACAACCTAACACATAGATAAATCTAACACTTCACACAAAAGACCTATTTACCTCAGTTCCTTTCGTTACAGGTAGTTAGGCATGAGTGGGGCAGGAGAGGACTCTCCCCTCACCAACCACTGGAAATGTCTGGTGATGGTTTGGCAATTATCGGATTGCCTCTCTAAAAGTGATAAATTGGCAGCCAGCGCCAAGGAGAGGCCATTTCCTGATGGTCCACACCTGTTAACATTAAAGTATTAATTAAAGGCAGGCCCCAGGTAGAAGCAACTTCCTGGGTATGTACATTAAGGGACAAAAATGGCGAAGTATGATCTTCCAGGTACACGCCACTGGAAAAAGGAAGAAAACCTCAGATGGGCATTTGTATAACTTCCTAAACACACTGCACATGCTCAATTCCAAAGGGTAAGGAGGGCGCCATGCATATTGAAAGCCCACCCTAAGGAAAGAATCATAGGAAAGAGGCAAGCCTATAAACTCCCTGAATCAAGGTTAAAGGCCCCCTGTTTTTTCCCTCTTTGACCTTCGGGTGCCCACTTGGGTCTCTTCCAAGGGTTCTTTCCTTTCTTTCCTATTCTAAAGCTTTTTAAATAAACTTACACTCTTGCTCTGAAACTTACCTTGGTTTCTTTTTCTGCTTTATTTCCCTTGGTCAAATTGTTTCTTCTGAGGAGGCAAGAATTGAAGTTGCTGCAGATGCATGCAGACTTGCCATCAGTAACTCGAGGTAACTCACAAAAAGTGGACTACATGCAAGAACAGATGCATAATGTAAGAAGAGAGATGGAAACTGTAAGAAACAACCAAAGGAAATGCTAGTAATCAAAACCACTGATGCAAAAATGAAGAATGTCTTTGATGGGCTTATTGGTAGAGCACAAAGAAAAGAAAGTGAATTTGAGGGTATGTCAATGGAAACTTTCATTATAGAAATGCAAGGAGAAAAAAAAATTGAGCTGTAAAATATGAAATCTAAGAACTATGGGACAATTACAAAAGATGTAACTTACATGTAATGAAAATACCAGAAAAAGAAGAAAGAGAGAAAGGATCAGTTTCTTCTTTTTGGGAAGAAGAAAACATTTTTAGAATAGATAGAGATAATCCAATGTCTGTTATTCTATTTTTGTCTTCAAACTTGCTGTAGAAGACTCATCTCCAAGACCCTAGAAGTTGCTGACCCACTGAAAAAAGGGACCTCTCATTCTGAATTCGTCTTTGAAAAGCTGACCACAAAATAGCCTATTTATCTGTGACATAAGAAGAAATACACCTCCCTTTTGTTAAACCATTGTGATCTAGGGGTTGTTTGTTACAGCATGTATTCTATCTTGAATAATAGACAAAAATAAAACATGACCCTTTTACTTGAGATCCTTATTATCTTAAAGTAGAGAGCTCATATACATACATTTTATATCTATTATTGTCTTTCTCCTCTATAAAAGCAATTCTTACTTCTGGAAATATAAAATTGTTAAAAGAAAAACCTTAGCCAAATTAAATTTAACAGGGTTTAATTGAGTCAAGAACCATGCATGAATTGGGCAGCCTCCTGAGCCAGAGTAGACTCTGAGACTCCAGTGCAGCCATGTGGTGGAAAAAGATTTATGGGCAGAAAAAGGAAAGTGATGAACAGAAAACAGAAGTAAGGTACAGAAGCAAGCAGGTTAGTTATAGCTTGGTGTTTGCCTTATTTGAACACGGTTTGAACAGTTGGCCCCTTCTGACTGACCAAAACTCAGTGATTGGCACAAGAGTAGGCTACAGTCTATTTACACTTCCATTTAGGTTATAGTTCACTATGTACAGAGAAACCTTTAGATCAAACTTAAAATATGTAAGAAGACAGCTTTAGGCTAAATATGATTTAACAATTCCCCCCTTTTGGTCATCCTCTCAATTTTGAAAGATTGACCAAAACTTTAGTCACTGGTGTCACCATTACCATTGTAAATGTACTTATTTGGTCCAAAACCCACTGGGAAATAGCAGAACAGTGGGTTTTATAAGGTGGGAATAAAGACTTCATGTTATTTTTTTGTAATGGTAAGAGTAGTGGGTACCTCCTTATGCTGCAGTGTCCTGTTTACAAGAGAAAAACAAAACCTGATATGTTCTAGAATCTATCAGTTTCCTTAACGTCTTAGTTTCATTATGTCACATTTAGCATGAGTGACCCCATTTTGGTTTGGTCTGGTCTGTTGGGGCCTATTGCAAGAGCTCAGTTGAAAGTTATGACCTCCCATAATTTTGTTTAAAATTTCCCCCTTCTGCTCAGGTTCTTACTTTGGTGAGTGTGTGAGCAAAACGTAGGGCCTTAACACCACTCTCAATTACCATCATTTTGGGTTTTCAGTCTTAGTATATTATTCATAGGTTACGGTGCCCTCATAGTAACACATTTCTTTCAGCTGTTGTCATTCCAGTTGAAGAGACACCATTTGACATTCTAGAGGTGGCTGCATGCAAACATTTAGAGATAATACAGCATACCAAGGAGACTACTATTATGACTATCAGGAGGATAATACCAAGAGTTTGGAGTATGCTCCTTAGCCAGGGCCCCCGTAAAGCAAACTAACTAAAATCAAATAGATCACAGAATGAGCTAGATAAAGAGTACTCACTTTAACTAAACAGCATATTCATTAATCCCCTCAACTGAATCTCTATAATACTCAATTTATTTCTCCATGGGCAACAAGAAGTGCCAGCAACTTCTCTGTTTAGCCAGTATGTAATCTAGAGCAATTCTGTTATTTAACATAACTTTCACAAGAGAATTTAAAGTCTGCTTTGTAACCATAGGTTTTATAGTAGAATCTGCTATAAAGCCTATCATGAGGAATAAATTTCTAATTATTGCCTCATTTACTCCAAACCATGGAATAAAGAACCTAACAAGTGATGCCCATCTAGAAGAGTGAAGACCTCCTATCCTTTCATGAACCTCCTTAAAGACAACATACTCTAGGATTTTGTGTGCTTGTGAAGATTTCGGAAACTGCATCAAAATTAAGCAATTAACTGTGGAAATGACTTAAAATGGTCATAGTTAAAAATACAATTGACAAGGAAATTTTGTTATTTCTGTGGTCTACAATAACATAACCACCATGATTATGACTGATAGCACATATTCAGACATAGTAGAATTTTAGAAATCCATATAATTTTTAAATGTATATTAATAACATTTATTAAAATATAACTTGAAGGTTTAACATCAATTTCTCATTTGAACACAAATATTTTACTCTCTCATTAATACTACATAACATTTTTGTTCTAAAAAAGAAAACAAAATTTTACTTTTGTATTAGTGTATTATCAATCCTAAAGCTGATTTTAACAAAACCTCATAAGTAAATTTATAAAATCTGTCATCTTTTAACCACACAAGATTTCCATAAACCTTTTGTTTTATATTATTTTCCCCCAACCTTTTTTTTTTCTTTGAAATGGAGTTTTGCTCTTGTTGCCCAGGCTGGAGTGCAATGGCACAATCTTGGCTCACC